CCTTTTCTCCTTTCCTGATTCCTTCAGCTCTTCTTGCCCTGCCTGAAAAAATTGCCTTGTATTTATTTTGTTTATATTTTGTATACTGGATCCCTCCTAGTTCTAGTGCCTTTGCTCTGTTATTTCCACTTTCTCCAGTAAGTAGCCTGTTTGTACAGTTATTTTTGCCTATTGTCTCCTCCATTAGATTGTAAGCTCCTTCACTGCAGACTGTCTTTTACATTTTTTTGTATCCCCAGTGCTTAGCACTGTGCCTGACATAGAGTAGGTACTTAACAAGTGTTTATTTGCCTGATGACATGTATATGTTATGTCCCTTAATAGAATGTAAATTACTTATGAGGAAGTGTTGTTTTATATTTTTGTTTATCTAGAGATCCTAGCATAGTGACTGGCACATAGTTGGGGCTTAATAAATCCTCACTGATTGATTTGACTCTAGGAATACTCTTGGTTTAGACCAGGGATGGGGTCTAAACTGCATAGTTTTCTACTGCTGCATAGTATTCTACAACTGTTGACCACTTTCAATCCCATCCTAACTGTCTTGGGCTCATTATTGGGCTCTAGTCCATGAGGTCAGAGCAGTAAGAATTACCAGCTGTGCCAGTCCCCATAGTGGTTTTGTGATGGAGTACCAAGTAGCCATTAGAGGCTAAAACTGAGACTGCCTCACTCCTTTTCACTTGTAACGTAAGTTGGACTGGAATTCACAAAGTTAAGACTAGCCAACTGTGGTAAAACAGTGTTGAAGTATATATTCAAGCCCATCTCAAGTATAGTAATTCGTAAATTCAAATGATAGAGGGGATTTAAGTTTCAGTAGTCCTATAGCCAGGTTGAAAGACAACTATTTAAAGAAACGTGAATTGGGATTTTAGATTATTGATGCCCCGTCCTGGATTTGCTATAGTGCAGGTTGTCTCCAGTAAGTAATCTTGAGAATTGTCATTAAATTATCAATAAACAAACGTAAGTTAAGAAAAAAAATCCTCTCAATTTATTTGGATTTTAAACATCTTTCAGTACTTTAGTGAAGGAAGAATACTATGAAATCTAGCAAACCAGTCCAAAAAGATTTTTAGGGTCTGAGACTTTGAATTGTGGGGAAATTAAAATTTGGGCCTAAATGGAATCTAGAATTTGAAAAAAGTGATGCCATTTCATTTTAATATAAAAATAATCTCCTTTATATCTTTTAAGATCCTTTTTGTTTTTCACTTGAAAAAACATAGTCAACCTTACCCAACACTATCTTCCTTGACTGGTTTTGCTTTTCTACTTAAAGATTTCCTGATGCTACCTCCTACCTCTGGCCATGCCATCCTGATTTCTGTGTCTCTTCTGTGATGCCAATCTGTTGCCAAGTTCTGTTGATTTTACATTTCTAATATTTCTCCCACATGCCTCCTTTCCTCCCCTGACACTCTTGCCACTTGCTGCTGGTCCTCAGTACCTCATGCTTGTGGGCTATTATAATAGCTTTATGGTTGGTCTCCCTGCCTTAAGCCTCTCTCCAGCACAGTCCATCCACCATTTATTGCTATCATGTAATCTTCCTAAAGCTTAGGTCTGACTGTTTCACCTCCCCTATTCAATAAACTCCATTGTCTCCCTGTCACCTTGAGCATCAAATAGAGCATCCTGTTTGTAGTGCAATACCCTTTATAACCTGCTTCTCCTTTGAAGTCTTCTTAAAACTTATTCATTCTCACTCTTTGATCAAGATCAAGTGACCCTTGGGCTGCTTTTCATTCCTCACACAAGACACTCCATCTATTGACTCCATACGTTTTCACCACCTGTTCCCCATTCCTGGCATTCTCTCCCTTTCTGCCTTGTTGATTCCCTGACTTCCTTCAAATCCCAGCCAAAATCCCACCTTCTGTAGGAAGCCTTTCCTGATCCCACTAAAGGCTGGCACCTTCCCTTGGTTGTTCTTCACCTTTAGTTTATCCTGTATCTCTTGTTTGCACATAGTTGTGGACATGTTTTCCCTCCGATTAGACTGGGAGCTCCTTCGGAGCAGAGATTGTCTTATGCCTGTCTTTTTATCCCATGTGCTTAACAAAGTACCTGGAATATAGTAGGCATTTAATAAATGTTTATTAAATATATAAAAAGATGAGGGAAGGTAGAAATCTTCCATATGGCACCAATACAAAGAAATATATTTTCAAGTGAAGAAAGATACAATTTTCTTTTATGGCTTTTTAAAACCTAACCATAAGTATGTACTTCTAAAGTATATGGTTATGTTTTTCGTGACTAGATATTTCAGAACCCATCATCATCTTTGCATGACCTGTGAGATGTTTTTAGCCCTTAGAAGTTTAGGAGTGGCTAACTGGGTGGGAGGAAGAGGAGACCTCAGAATGGGGAGACGATTTCGTTTTATGTCCTACCCCCATGCCATCTTTTTGTTGTTCGTGTGGACAGAAAATCCTGCAGCATAAGAAAAGGGACAGAATTTTACAAGCTTTTCTCTATTTAAGTTAGTTAAATTATCTAACAATCTCTGTTACAGTACCCTTATCAGAGCTGTTTCATTTTTATTCTCACACACACACACTCACACATTTTTCAGGAGTCAGACAACATATTTTAAAATTATGAATAGCTGTTAATTGGTAGTATGTGAGAGGAAAACACTACAAAACTTAGTTCTGCTTAAAGGGATATGTGCCTGGGATGGTGCAAGGAGAATACACTGGGGAATAGGAAATGAGTCCTTTAATGTATTAAGATGAGAGGGGGCATTTTCTACCCTTGAGCTTATAACACACCCTCATGTAACACTGTAAATGTTTTTTTTCCTTTGAATAACAAAAGTGCAATTTTTTTAAATGAGAAATTATCCTATATTGAAAGGTAGGAGGTGCTTAATGTTTTTGATAGTCTAAACAGTGATTTATACTTTTATTACTTCAAGATCCAGCTATACATAGATGATTTTGTAGGAAAAATTAATTATTTAGAGGTTTAAAAAATGGGAGATATTTTTCGTAAGTCATTAAAGGTCTTTGCTATATATTCAGTTTAGGGGAAGTTGAAAAACAAACAAACTTAGGAAAGATCTGTTAATCTGTTAGTATGCCTGAAATTTTATGTTGTTTTTAAAGTGTGAACTAAAATAAGTCTAATGTCTTTCTGGTAGAGAAATCCCTCTGAAAGAAAGTAACTCTGAAAAAGCTGTTTTCTTCAGATTTGAGATTAACACTTGGGTTGGTTGGCTACAGAAGAATTGATCTAGGATGACAAAAAGACAGTTAGTGCTTTGGAACCATGGGCATTGGCACAGAGAAATGTCATCATGGTGAAAACTCTGTAGTCCTTTAGTCTTTTTTTTTTCAGTCCTTTAGTCTTAAGTAAATATTTAGCTTCACATTGTAGTAGACACTGATTCCATGTAGTAATGGATATAGCTTAGGGCATAAGAGACTGCAGTACAAAGCCCTGATGTTCTTGAGTTCTTTCTGCTGCCTCTTTGAGTTGTGACTGACCAGTCATCTCTCTCAAACACAAGGCATTTAACTTCTTGTGGCTGCTGTTGAAGTAGATATAATTATTTAAGGAACATGGCAGTTAAGAACTCTGAAACTCTCAGAAGTTCAGAGGCTGAGTATGGAATGATTTTAGTTGATGCTAGTAAATAATGCCTGTCTTTTAAGACTAAGACTTTATGTGTAATTTCTTTAAAAGGTTTTATTTAAAATTTAAAATGACTAAAACTCCTTTAAACTGTTATGTATTGTGTAGTATCTTTCCTCCTAGCTAGGTCACTGCTGGTTCCCAAGATAAATGTGTCTAAACACAAGCTTTTCCATGCATCGCCAGACTCTGATTTTTGCCAAACTCACTGGATAATGATGCAATCCTGTGAAGTTGGTGTTGGAGTTCATCACCATGGAGGTGTTTCTGTCAACAAAACCTTAGCTTTATAGTCCTGTAATAATTGATTATACAGAAAAAGCAGAGGATGCTTATGAAGGGAGGAAGATTGGTTTTATTTTTAAATACTTCTCACAGTTAAGAGTGATGAGATGAACTATTACAAATGTGGGACTATGAAAACTGACCTCATTGAATTAATATAGTGGTTTTAGCTGGAAAAAGGAAAGAGGTGATGGGCTGATTTGTCTTGGAACTCAGTCTAATTCAGTAACTCACAACATGCAGTGGGTCTCCCAAAAGTTTCATTCAGTCTTTGGACCGATCGATAAATCCTATAATCCAGGCTCAAAATACTTTAGGAATTTGAATGGACCAGTTCCTTTTAAATTATAAAGGCCACAACTGGTAACTAAAGAAGAATCAGTTCAGGTTATGTATGTAATCACTCTATGCACTTTTCTTTTTTCCCTCAAGTGAGTTCATTCTGAGTATCATTGGCTTTTATTTTCTTGTTGAAATTAAAAACAAAAACAAACTTATGACATAAGCTGAGTATAATCTAGTTATTAGAGGTGTGGTATCAAGGAAAAAACCTCAAGTCTTTTGTGCACTGAATTGGAACAGAGTTACACTATGTCTTCTTTGAAACTGGTTCAGTAACTGTTCTAAGCACAAAGCTTGTTACGTGACAATAGCTGACAGTATAGGTTGGATTTTTTTTCTTTTTGTATTTTTAAAAGAGTCATAGAAAATTAATAAACCCTTAGTTGCCCTTAGAAAACTTTCAATTTTTTGGCCGGTCATAGACCTATTTTTCAAAGATAGTGGTTCCTATCCTCATTTGGGGCTCAGAGTATGCAAATCAACTTTAACAATAGCTTACATAAAATAATTCTAAATTGAAATAGAAACACATGCTAGACTATCTGTTCTTTGGAGATGTTTGTGCCATTCATCCCCTTCTTTTAGTGTGGATATTCAAAAGCAAATGGGTAGTAGGTCTTGTTTTAAAGGGTAGAATTAAAAGACACTTTTAAATGTAAAATAAAATTCTGATGTACATGCAAAAATATAACACAAGATGACCAAAAGAAAATCCAGCAAGCAATGGTAAAAATAACAAATTATTTACTGTTTTATAATGTTAAAATATTTCACCAAGACAAATTGCAGTCAAAATTAATGTGAGTTATGGAAAATGAAATACATAAAGATGCATTTATACAAGTGCAGACTAAATATTTTCCATACAGGTAGGTAAATGGAAAAAACAAAAAACAAACGATATACAGTAAGTGCACACTTGATATGACTATGCAGGCAAAACTTAGTTAGTTTTATATATTCTTGTACAGTTCATGCACAAATCTCTCCCAAAGTAAAAGTTCAGTTGTTGTTTTTTTTTAATTTGGAGAGAGGTAAGAAGAAAGGGGAGGGGGGTAAGTTCCTTATAAGAATGTCAGTGTGGATGATGATGATGAGGGGTCAGTTATATATATTACTTACTGTAATTTGTGATTGTCGAGGGAGGGGAGTGGCCGTTGGTGTGATAGTAATACTGCTGGTGACTTTATTTGTCGCTTTGCCTGCTGTTCCATTAATTAGGGCCGGAGTTCGGTTATCTTGTGGCAGAGTTGAAGGACTGGCAGGCCTCACAGGACTGGCCACAGCTTGCATGTAAGGGCTTCCTAAGTGAATGTGGATTTTGTTATCCTCAGTAGTTATCACACTTGAACCATTGCTGTTTGACCTTTGAAACTGCCACGCTGACTGTCTCTCTGGGGAAACTCTGAAGACAGTGTGCTTGGCACCTATCTCCACCGGCTCTGGGGACCGTCCCTGTTCTGGGGAGCTCGCTGAACCAGTTACAGCCAAAACATGAATGGGAGACATTGTCCTTTCGGGAGTTATAGAGCCACAGGATTCTGGGGTTGGTGCTCTGGCAAAGGTAGCCATGGTAATAGGGGATGTGCCTTGCTCTGAGTTTATGGGGCTGTCAGTAGAGGTTTTTGACTTTACTGGTGTTATGGAGGCATTTTGAATAATGGTTATTCTTTGCTTTGGAGTACCACAATTGGGTATCACTGCAGTGCTTGTATAAGAGTGAGGACTTTCTGTAGTAGGACTTGTGATTTCAAGAGTGGCTGTATTTTGCCCATGGTCTGGAGTAACCTTTATGTGAAGAGGTTGACCAGGTGTGTGACTTAGGACCAAATCCCCAGGTTGCACATAACTTCCATTCTGCTTGGCTGGTATTTTTCCATTCTGAGGATGACCTTCCTTGGATTTCATCCAGGGGATCCATAACTTCCTGTTGACCGGATGTGCAGTAGATGAGTTACATTTGAAGGACACTGTTGGCTCATTATCATTGGGTTCTTCATCCTCATTATCGCTTTCCTCATATAACTGCCCATTAATTACAGCTCGTTCCAAAGGAATGAGACTTTTGTAATCAGGAGGTTCATTGTCTGCTGGTTCAGTTTGGACTTCTTTAGAAAATACTTGAAGGTCAGAAAATCTTCTTCCATTAAGACTGGGTCGGAGACTCTTACTGAAATGCCGATACCTTTCTAATTCTTTAGTGAGGTTTTCAATCTCTCTTCCTAAGTCCCTGTTTCGGTTTTCTTGTTGATTGAGTTTCTTTTGTAGAATTGTATGGTCACCCTGTAAGTGACATATTAAGTCTTCAGTTGCCATATATTCATGAATTTTCTCCTTTAATGCATCTACCTCCCTTGAGAGGTGGCCAGACTTGGCTTCTTCCTCTTTAAGCCTTTTGAAAAGCCACTGTTCCTGACTGGACTCTGTCTTTTCTGCTAACTTGTACCTAGCAAGTTCCATTTTAACATCCTCAAGCTCCTCCGATAGAAATTTAGCCTTGTCTCTTTCATTAGCATAGCGTCTCTCAAGAGACTCATATTCATCTTCTGTTTTCATGAGATCGTCTTCAATAGCTTTCATGTCTTTTAATTTATGCTTCAGCCTCTCCACCTCTTGGGAAAGCTCTTTAATCTTATTGTTTTCTTGGTGTACAGCTATTGTCGACTTACCAGTCTCTTGTTTTGATTTGTTTTTGAGAAAATCTTTCTCAATAGCTTCTAATGATTGGAGTCTCTTTTTCAGAATGTTAACTTTTGACAAGAGATCATTTCCTTTCTCTTCTTCTGCTTTAAGCTTGATTTTCAGTTCATCCCTCTCTTTGGTCACATTATATACCTTTTCCTCCACATCCGTTTTGGACTTTAGCGCTCTTTTGCTTTCCTCAATTAACTTTTCAGTTACCAATGTCACTTTACTTTGTTCTGCTTGAAGCTGAGATGTAACAGCTTGTAGCTTATCTTCCGTCTGCTTCATTTTTTCACTCATCGTTTTCCGTTCATCAACCAGCATCACTGTCAGTGTTTTCAGTTTAGTTAAATCCTCTTTTAGGGTGAATTCTGTCTTCTCCAGCTTATTCTCAATGGTTTCCAACTCTTTGAGTCTCACTTTTAAACCATCTAGTTCTTGAGACAATTGCTTTGTTGTCATCTTTTCTTTTTCTAGATTGCATTTCAGAGCGTGACACTCCAGCTTGCTTTTGCTGAAGGCATCTTCCAGTTTTTCCAAATCCATAATCCTCTTGTTGAGTTTGTCAACCTCCAGTTTAAAGTCCTTACTCTGGGATGTCTCCTTTTCCAGCCTTTGGTGGAGATCTCGGCACTGCTCTTCCATTTTTATGAGCTCTTCATCTTTGCCTTCCATTTCTAGTACTCTTTTCCTGAGTTCTTCCACTTCTGCCAGGATGCTGGAATTACCACCTTCTCCCTTGTTGATCTTTTCTCTTATTTCTTGTAATTCTTCTTCTGCTTTTCGTAAAGACCTATTTGTCTCCTCCAGCTCATCAATTTGGCGGCTGAGTGCTGCTAGTTTTAGCCGGAGCTGCCGATTTTGGCTGTCCTCATTGGTGAGTTTGGCCATTATTGCTTCCTGGCCCTTGTGGAGCTCCTCGGTTTGTCTTTGCAGTTCTCTTTCTAGCCTGCTTGCCTTGTGCTCTTCTTCCTGAACTTTGGCTTCAGCAACGGCCAGTTTCTCGTGTGCTTGCTCAGCAGTCGTGGTCAAGTCTTGGATTTTCTGACTCTGTAGGTTGAGCTGTTCAGTGAGCCTCTGTTGTTCATCCACAACCATCAAAGCAAATGATTTCAGTTTGGTCAGCTCCTCCTTGAGTGCGGAGACCTTCTTCTTGTTCTCTTGTTCTCTTTGTTTGTGGTAGTCTGTTTCTTGGTCTATTAGCTTTTTAAATCTGAAAAACACAAAGTGCATTCTGTTTTACTACTTTTGCTTTAGTGGATTGTTTGGGCGTAGTTAATCATTCTGTAATTTTGGAAATCGACATCACTGGCTAAAGGACAATATTTGGAAGACAGTTCGGTGTGTAAATAAATAGGGTGTGGGATTTTGAATCAAGAAGACCTGGCTTCCCATCCTGCCTCCTAGACTTACTTACTAGCTTTGTTATCTTGGGCAAGTCCTTTAGCTTCTCTGGCCTCAGTTCTTCATCTGGCAAATATTTGGGGGTGTGTAAGTGATAGAGTTGAAAGTGATGGCCACCTAAAAAAAAAAGGTGGCCCTTTTCCACCTAAAATTCTATGATTCTATGGATACTTTATTTTTTTGGAGGGGCGGGGAACCTAGATAACAAGTTTAGATGCTTGCTTGGTGCTCTTACCTGATAATAGTTTTGGTTTCCAAAGAATGCTGGAGGGGGAAGAGAATCTGTGAATAAGGATGATGCCGTTTTAGCCTGGAGACCATCATCTGAGGGCTTTAGCTTAAGCACTTTTACTCAGGGTTTATAATGAGTGGGAGGTTTAGCTTTTAAAATCCAAACTTCCTGACTTGCTAAAAATCTTAAGATTCTGATTCAGTTCTTTTACTTTGTTGATATACAAACACTGAAGAAGCACTGATCACAGAGGACATAATTTTGACGGTAGAAAGAACTCTAGATTTAAAGTTAGAGGACCTGATTTCTTGTTCTGCTACTTAGCACTGCCTGGATAAATTTAAGAGCGATCCTCTCCTTTGTGTCTCAGTTTCCTGGTCTATAAAAATAAAATCTAGACTTGATGACTTCTTAGGGTTTCGTCCAGTTCCAAATCTGCATATGATACTGTGATTTTGCTGCATTGAGAACAACAACTAGAATTCAGAGCTAACTCTTATTTCAGAGTTTCATCAAGGCAGATGCCTACTTTTCTTCCACCTTTCCCCCAAAACAAAACAAAGCACTTAATCCAGTTTGCAATGTTTTTCTCTATAGCCTAGTAAATAGTCTTTGTGAATTGATGTATATGAAAAAAAAATCCTTATTGGGTAGGCAACCCTCTGGTAATGAGCTTTCTAGAACTTAACCAGACAGATCATCTGACAATAGACCTATTAGGACTGAAAACTAAAATGCTAGTCCTTTTCTCCAAAGCCTTTCCAGTTCGGTAAAAAATGCCAGAATTTGCCTTATTACCTACCTCTTTGACCTTGGACAAACCGCTTAGCTTCTGTGGGTCCCAGTTTCCTTGCTTCTAAAATTGGGGAGTTGGGCTAGTGAATGGGAATAAGCATTTATAAGACCCAACTATGTGCCAAGTCCCGTGCTGAGGCTTTACCATTATTATCTCATTGATCCTCACAACAACACTGGGCGGTAAGTACGATTATTATCCCCATTTTACAGTTAGGAAAACTGAGACAAAGTTAAGTAATTTGCGCAGGGTCAAATAGCTAGAGAGTGTCTGGGGCCATATTTGAACTCAGGTCTTCCTGATTTCTGGCCCAGTGCTCTATCTACTGCACCACCTAGCTGACCTAGATGGCTAAAAGGAAGCTTTGGCAGTTTTCTAGCAGGCTGGAAAATTATACATTCTTGTATTTTAAATTTTATTGTTGTTGTTCAGTCATTTCAGACCTGGCTGACTCTTTGTGATCCCATTTGGGGTTTTCTTGGCAAAGATACTGGAGGAGTTTGTTGTTTCCTTCTCCAGCTCATTGTACAGTTTGAGGAAATTGAGTTAAATGACTTGCCCAGGATCACACAGCTAGTACAAGTCTGAGGTCAGGTTTGAACTCACTCCAGTCTCAGAACTCTATGCACACTGCATCACTTAGCTGCCCAAAATCATTGTCATCCTTGCTGAAAGAGGGCTGTCTTTGCTACACATCTGCAGTCTCAGGATTATAGAGAACATGGGAAAAAGAGACAGGAAACAGTCATAGGTTCCTGTGAATATGCTCGTGATCCTGCTTGGTCTTTGGGACTACACCTGTTACTTGACTTTGTATATATAAAGAGAAGTTTCTGAACTAGGATTGGAAGGAACTGGATTTTTTTAGTAGTGGCTAGCAGCTTTGTATTCTCTTAGCCACAGACTTCATAGATAGTTAGATGGAGATAGTTTGTGAAAGAGTTTCTCTGAAAGGCCAACTGGCCGCTGTGGTATTTGAACTTTGGCCACATATTTACAACTTTGGCTTACGTGTGCTGATATTTAATTTCTCAATAACACTGTGTGGTATTTGAATCAATTCATCTTGAGTCAGGTTGATTTGAGGCTCATTGAGCATTGTATGTTCTTAGGCTGCCATCCTTCAATGAGATTGGAGTAGGTTTGTCTTTAGTTCTATTATATGGGATTGTGTTTTTTTGAATTATTTTGTTGAGAAAAGATTTTTTGATAGTAGATAACCCTCAAGCAAAATGCATCCTAAAATGCAGAATCTTCCATAATTCACCATTTCTTTTAATCTGCCTGATGGATCATCCCATTTTTCCTTAGTCTTTAAAAGGATTATATTAATTATACTTTAATTGTATTATATTAATTGTAACTTAGTACGATTATAGTTTCGTTAATTTTTAATGATTATTATGCATATTTATGGTTCTACTCATGATGTTTCATTGCATCTTGGAAGTGACCGTCTGTTCTCAAAGACTACTTTCAGGGGAACAAAAGTCTTGCTAGATTCCCCCAAATTGTTGTCTAAGGACCAACCTAGTTAAGCAGAGTGAGGCCAGAAAATAAGCTAGCAGGTGGCAAGTTTTTTAGACTAGAACAACCTTGGTGAATAAATATTTCCTGCAATTGGTCTTTTAAACTACACTGTTCTAAATATCAAAGGTGTTCTCTGGAATTTTGGTTTATGCTAAATATTTAGTGGCCCTTCAAGTCTGTTAGGCTTTTGGGGTCTGGAGTTGAAAGGGACATGTCTTATTTGTGGAGTGTTATTAATTAGACACCATGTCTATTTCATGGTTCCAGACTGTGCTTCTAATAACCCAAAATGTGCCGTGGGTCAGAGGGAACCTTAAGTCAAGTGTGTGATTTAAATCAATTTAGATTTATCACTACTGCTTAAAAAAAAAACCCTGAAAATGTGCATTTTGATTTAGAAGGACCAAAAGATTGTTAGATGTTATTTTTCCCCCTCCCCTCCCACCAGTGTTCAGAGATTTAAATGTGGGATAACAAGTTGTTATTTTATTTTTAAAGTACCTAGATGCGTGAAGCTGACAAGTAGAATAATATGCCTCTAAGATAAAAGCATGTGAATAAAGGTACCATTTGCTTAAATTAATTTTAAAAGTAAGATTCCATCTATCTCTCTATCTGTACATACATGCATATATTTGACAATTTCAGACAAAAGTAGTTAACATCATTTAGTCACAGTATTTATAAACGTGTCCAATTACTGACCCCGTAGGACTAAAGAACATTTACTCAAACCTTTCCAGTAAAAACAGGCCTTGGAAGCTGGTTTTATAGACATAAATGTGAGGTGGTTAGATCCAACTGTGTCTTGTTACAGCCTTCCTTTAGCGTTTCTATTATAGCTCAGAACTTATATAACGTATTGTGGTTTATCGCTGTAATTATATGCAATACCAATTTCTTACTTTCCCTAAAAAAATTATATCTGTCATTTTGAAAGCTCTTTGTTGTTAACCATAGTTACTCGTTTTACAAATTACATACTTCTGAGTATCTTTCCTTTTACATATTTAAAGACCCCCAGAGGTATGTGCACACATTTATTTCCTTCTGGAAGTAATAAAGTTACAAGTGTCAAACAATTACACTGTATGTCATTCACATGAAACAGATGGCATATTTCTAAGTGTTTTTATGTCATTTTCATCTTTCTGTGGAAATTGTCACAGTAGTGTTTTGAATGGTTTTTAGAGAGGCTAGGTCAGAATAGGGATGCTAAGGTAATTATTATGTAAAAGAACTTTTGAGCCCTTTATGGAAAGGTTCCCAAATTAACATTATTATAGTCCTTTCAGAAGAAGAGAGCAGCAGAAAGTAATAATAACTGACACATGCAGTTGTGCTTTAAGGTTCATATACTGCCTTCTAAACACCACTATCTTATCCAAGTCTTTGAAGAGCCCCATGAAATAAATAGTGTTAGAACTGAAGTGACCTCTCCATGGTCATGAAATTGGTGTCAGCGGCAAGATTTGAATCCTGGGCTTCCCCGATTGCAAGAACTAGTAATCTTTCAGTCTTACCATACAGCATAAACTTAGGGAGAGGATTTGAAACTCCCAAAACAACTCCTTCCCTTCTCTGATTTTTCCTAACCTTACAACTGGACAATCCTCTGTCACCATTGAGGGGCTTGGGGCAAATAGTAACTTAGCTACAAGATAGTGAGAGTCAGTCTCAATATGTCACAGCCTTGTGTGAGATCCTTCAGATGCTGACCTGAAAGTAGTAGAAGAACAAATGAAAAGACTTTATCCACCTATTAGAACTGTACTAGTTTTGTATTTAAAATACAACTTAACAAATCTGCCTTCTAACTAGAAAGCAGCTCTCAAATTTTTAGGGTCTAGACTTGTTTTTGAAAGAAAGAAAAACAAAAAAAAGGGAGGGTAATTAGAGGCAACTAGGTGGCACAGTATGTAGAGTGCTGGACCTGGAATTCATATCCTACCTCAGATAACTTTGTGATCCTGGACAAGTCACTTAATCTCTGTCTGCATATTTCCTCATCTGTAAAATTGGGATATAATAATAGCACCTACCTTATAGGGCTGTTGTGAGGATTTAATGAGATAATATTTGTAAAGAACTTTGCAAAAGGAAAAGAAAATTACATGATGACTTTTATATTTAAAAGGAATAGCAAATTGTACATAATAGATTTGCATTTTCATGTGCAATCTTTTTTAATTATGCTTTTATGAAAATGCTTGTTTTTACCCCATGAATTAAAAATAAAATAAATACAAAT